AAATAGCGCACAAGCTAGGAAACGCCGTTTTATGAATGTTTGAGCTGAATTACGAGATATTCATTTCATCAACAAATAGGGCAGGTAGCCTACAAATTTAAATTATTTATTTTCTTCTGTAATTTTTTTTACTATTTTGATTGTAGGCACAGGAACAGCATTGAAACTAGAATAGCTTTATATGTTTTAAAGATACGGTTGACCCAAAGACTATTGTCGATTCAGAATGTGCTGTTTCGGGGGGTACTTCCTGTTATTTTCTGATTTGGCGCCTCGCCTCCTTGAACGTCTTTATATACAGCGTGGTCATTTTCTCCATATTTTCGTCCCAAAACCCACTCTAGCGCCCAAACGGTGAAGGGTAGCTTAGCTTCAAACGGACAAAATTTCAGTCCAAAGTTGTCTACTAGAACGAATTAGAGCAGACGACGAGGCGTTTTGCTGGCGCAAAACAGGAACATGACGAATACTACGTGACCAGCGCCTCCCCCCCCCCTTCCTCCGTGACCGACCGTAGTGCCAGGCAGAAGCTCCCCCCCCCTTCCAAAAAATGAACTAATGTAAATCGCAAATTTCTGTTATTTGATTTTTTGGCTTTTTTGTGTGTGTGTGAAGTGATGCGTCGGTGTATTCTTTTTTAAATGTCTGGCACATTTTTTCCATCGCTGTGCGAGGTCTCACAAGCCAGCACCACTATGCACCGTGTGTGTAACCAGCGCGCTAGCTCATCTACTTCACACTTTTAGGCGCAACCGTTTAGTGACCTTCACATTGGTTTGGTGAGCGTCAGAAGCACAACGTGAGTGTTCTTGGGAAAGATGCGCACATTTAGCCTATAAATTTCTCCTCGTTTCATCTCCGCGCATTGTTCTCCCATCCTCTCCTCTCTCGCGGTTCTCTCCGTTTTATTTTAAAATATCTTACCTCTGTTCCTGGCGAGTTCCGTACGATGACATTTATACGACGTGGCATTTCATTGTCTCAGTGGCGTGGATTAATGGTCCTTTAGTACACTCATAGAAAACAAATTTACGACCGTGATTACTATTATATGACGGATGGATGAGGCGCGATGAAAAGGACAAAACAAGACTGTGTTTTATACCTGTGTACTCCACTGGGAGCTATTCATTTAACCCGTTGGCCCCACCTGCTTTTGGGCCCCTTGACCCCTCTGCCACCTCCCACGCCCGCCGGTACCCGCCCGGTCCGGTGCCCCGGTACCCCGCTGCCATCGTTGGGCTGCGTGCGTAGAGTGTGGTCTCATGTGGTCCAGCTGCGAGCTTTCTCACGCATCCCATTTTTGGCCTGCCACAGTCGCAAGAAGACATCCTTGGTCAACCCTCTCCTTACGCCACTTTCGATCGCGACAGAATCGTGATTTTCTGGAAACATATTTTATCGTCGTACTGTAACACGAACTGTAGGTATAGTTAGGTGACCAAATCTGTTCAAATGCTGTATCTGCTGTAACGCCAGGACTCGGCATTGAAAGGATGGTGGAAATTTGTCTTCTTTGAAAAATTGGCATTTGCGTAATTTGGAAATAATATGCAGAAATGTTTTGGCGTTGAATGTAGCCAGAGAATTATGTCCGCTGTTGTAAGAATTGAAACTACACTGATTAAAGTTCGCAGCTGGAATGCACATGATTGCCTTTAACGCCATGTTGCACACGTTTAGGTGTTTGACTGGAAATTTTAATCGTTTAAGGTGATCAACAGTAAATTTGAACTTTACCGCTTAACACTTTTCAGTATTCGAGCTGTTCAAGTGTGCAACGTAGTGTTGATCAGAATGTGCATCCCAGTTGCATACATTATTTTATCAGTGCGGCACCTGTATATTCACCCCACCCCACCGGTATTTGTCACGACCAACAAAGGATCGATATTATAAGACTACATTTTTACTGTTAACACAATGAGTGCTGCGCTATCAATCTCTCTGTGATTGGATAGCGGGTAGCCAGGTGTGACATCATATATGTCTTCAAATAATGTTAGACTAGATCCAAGGTGACTAATTCCACGCACTTCTAAATTTATACTGTGTCACTCACAGGCGTGCGTGCGGGTTTGCCTATCGCCGCTTACCACGGTGCCGTAAGGATCGCCCAGAATGTACGTTTCTCCAATTCATTCAGGAAATTACTGCGTCTCGGCGCCTGCCAGGCTGAGGGTAGGCCGCCCCGCAATACACGATGCACTACACGCAAGATGATGCCTACCCACCAGGCGTTTTGAGAGTCTGCTGAGACCGAACTTGGCAGGTTCGTAACGGCTTACGACGGATGTGCTTTCTGGGTGACCCTTCATGGCCCCGATCGGATTGGCAGCGGGCTCTCAAGCTTGCATGCTACAGTACAGCTACAAACGTGCGTGTTTTAATCAGCTACCTTCTACAATATGAGACAAGTGACGCACATACCTCAAGTTTGGACTTATTACCTTTTTTGTCAGTGACTTTCATTTTTGAATTGATTTGAGTCAGAGCCCTTACTTGGAACTCCCGATGGTTTGTCATCTCGTAAGGTTTGAGTGAGAAATCTCATTTAGATTTTTGTTATAAACAAAGATTAGGACGGAGTAAAATTCCGAAAAAAAAGCAACCATCCAGAATTTGAGAGGACTACCATAGCAAGATGCATTTTAAGAACATCTTGATTGGATACATTTTTGAAATTTCAAAGTTGCAAATTTTGCATATCTCTTTCGTTAAAAACATTTTTGTTTGTTTGCCTTTTTACAGTCTTCTCACTTTTCTAGCAAACTAGAACTGATCAGCCGTACTTTCAGTGCACAGTCTGTAGTTGCTTCCAATAACAGTCTGACTGCTAGGAGACCGCTGCCATACGTATTTTTTTTCTTGGATGCGACTTTAAGCCACACAGAAAGCAGCCACACGCGTGCGAGTGCACTCTTTGAGGTGACGGCTGGTTTTGGCGAACTCTTCTTGCTCCTTCCCCGCCGGTAGGATCACCCCGTCCCTTTTTATCTGGAGCTGGGCTGCCGGCTGCTTCTGCGGCCTAAGGAATCCCCTCTCCCCTCCAACCTGCCGAAACAAAGCCCTATTTGTTGCACAATGTACCGCGGAGGAACGGCACTCCGGAGGGGAGCCACCTGGAGCCGTTTGTGGAGGGAGTTGGGCCCGCCCGCCCGCGCGTGTGTGTACGCGTGCGTGTGTGTTTGGGTATATCTCTGTGTGTGTGCGCGCGCGCGCATCGGGGAGGGTCTTCTGCTTACGAGGCCTCAAGGACCGGGGGGCCTACCCGGGGCGTACCCTACCCGCACTCGGCCGTTTTGTATAAAAACATTGTGAGGCTGCAGTTGTGGCACAGTCAGTCACCGACCGTCGGCCCAAAAGCAGCATTAGCAGCAGCATGAAGTCCATCATCGTGAGTATTTCCTCTTATCGATATTGGAATGGTTACTGCTATAGTGTCTTTGGTGCTCACCGCCGTTCTGTTCCCACAGGCCCTGTTCGTCTTGGTTGCGTGCGCCGCTGCCGCACCCCAGGGGCAATACAAGCCCCAGCAGTACCAGCCCCAGCAGTACCAGCAGCCCAAGCAGTACCAGCCGCAGCAGTACCAGCAGCCCCAGCCCCAGCCCCAGGTGCGCCAGCAGACCTACTCGCCGGCCGCTGCCAGCCAGCCCCTCGTCAACATCGCGCTCACCAGGTCGGCCCCCGAGGAGCCCATCGTCATCCTGAGGCAGGTCCAGGACTACTCCCCGCCCGGTACCTACTCCTTCAGGTGAGTGCTGCAGCTTCTGCGACGGGCCAAGAGTGCAACAGGTAATGTCTTTTGTGTCCAATTCCATGTTGTGCACTTACAAGTGTTTAATAACTCCGCACTGCAGTTGTGGAATTCCCCTGCATCAGACTCTCTCATGTAGAATTCACACTGTGTGGAAAGTGTTGAACGGACGAGTTGCTCACTTGCAAGTGCGTAAGGTGTAATTTAACACTCGAAAGTGTTAACCGGTTGCACTCTTGATTCATCATTGTACTGAAAAAAATGATCTCAATTTTATCTGGTTTGTTCCCTTGATTCGGTTATATGGTTCTAAGCGGTTAACCTTTCCCCATCAGCTACGAGACCGAGAACGCCATCCAGGCCCAGGAGCAGGGCCAGCTGAAGAACGAGGGTACCCAGGACGAGGCCAATTCGGTGCAGGGGTCGTACTCGTGGACCGCTCCCGACGGTGTCACTTACTCCGTCAACTACATCGCTGACGAGAATGGCTACCAGGCCCAGGGCGCCCACCTCCCCGTGCCGCCACCCGTCCCCGAAGAGATCCAGAGAGCCATCGACTACGCCAGGTCACAGCCCGGCTTCAGGGAAGAGGACGACGGCCAGTACAAGCATTCCGATCAGTAGCTCAATAATTAATTAAAACTGAAAAAAAATGATTAAAAGTTCATAAACTCCTTATCTGCGAGCACTTAATTATCCGCTACTCCTGTTGCATGACATTGGACTCCCACTCTGGCTTCTTCTCTGCCCCTTCTCTCATTTCCAATCCTCTCTTATTCCCTGGTGCCCCCTCTTCCCCCCTCTTCCACACGTGTCACCTGCTGCCATCGTATTGGGCGTACGGCGCCCCGCTACCTGATCCCCCCTTCCCCGGCAGATGGACCCCATGAGCGGAGGGGGCACACACAACCGCGGCCCGACCTTCACCTTTAGCCGGATGGCACCAGGCCGGTTCGGATCCTGGTCCTACCTGGTTACAGGAACAGAGGCGGGGCGGGGGCGGGGCGGGATCGAGATGAGCTGCGCTGCCAAGAGGCCGAGTGGCCTGCTCTGCATAGCCGCTACGCATTTTGTCGGTGAATTCTCGTTTGTACCATCCGAGCCACAAGCTGGCTCTTTTGCGGGTTTTTCATCTGCACCTTTTTTTTTGTATTATTTTTTTTAATGTTTTGTTTTGGTTGGTGCTGTCTTTATTGTCACATTTTACAGTCAACCCGGCTTTGATTGTAATCGGCCGGTGCTCTGCTGGCGCAGGGGCCTCTCTCGTGTACGTTGGGCTGCCCGCCCGGCGGGCGCTGCGGCCTCGGCCGGCCTCGGCGC